TTTTTTTTTAAATATTTAGGCATGTGATCATTTTCCTTATTAAGTGATAAATATTTTTCAAATCAATAGAACATTTTATTGATAGTGTAATAACATACCAATTGATTTATCTTCTATATTGAATGTACATTACAGCTACGCTTTTTAGTTGAGACATCGTTTTAAATATTTATGAATTGTTTTACCCTCCAATTGGCACTAGTATTTTTATTTATTATCTTAACGCAAACAAACGATGCCGAAATACAAAATATATGGGATTGTTGCGTCAGAGTTAAAATAAAAAAAATGCAAAGCAAAAAAATGAAGTGTTATCATCGCAAAGATATTACCGAACATGCTGGAAAATTCATCGTCGAGGCCAGTCTCATTTGTTTTAAATGCAGGAAGACTGCAGCACAAAGTTAGGAGCGCAATACACGTGTAAGACATGCTATTCGAAAACTATATGTATTTCTATCATTCCAAGGTAAAGGAAGAACAAAATCAAGATGTGTGTTTTTAAGAAAACATGTAATGGCATGACGTAGGCAGTAGTAATGAAATTAAATCCTTTCAAATTGTTGGTAATGATTGTACGATCTTGTGTTTTATACAGCACAACGCGAAAAACGCATTTTGTTGAGTCTTTATCGTGAAACGCATGTATTAGTAGCCATGGCCTTGAATTCGTCTGTTTATAATAATCTATTCTTAGACACGGGATTCCGATAGAACTACCTTTATAGAAATACCTGAGGACGCGTCACAAACAGTGCACGGTTGGAAGCGCGCACTATAGCGGATCATAGCGTTTGGGGAAATAGGCATAGCAACCCGCCATAGCTCTTTGTCATTTTATTTTTTTCTTTTGAAATTCTTGCTAACAATAGGTTTCAAGTTATTTTGATACGTTTTTCAGATGCATGGTTGCTTTTATAAGTGATCATATTTTGCTAAATTAATAGAATCCTGTTGTACCAGAACATGATTTAAACCTCAGAAGAGCAAATCCTTAACAGGTGTCAGTAGTGATACTCCACTAGTCCTCTATATACTCCTTATACGTACCTAGGCAAACACAACACAACACCTAAACAGAAAATAGCTACTCGACCGATAGCACGGACGGAGTCGGCATTTATTCATAAATATAATATATGAATATAATAAATACACATTAACAAAATAACTACTCTGACTTCATTTACCGTACACACAAACAATCCTCCCACATATACCCTCACATGGTTCATCGCCCTACATCTCCTAACGTAAAACCAAGCGCGCCACCCAACCTGAAAACCTTATTAGGCACGACAGGATATGGAGGTGTACCAGCCCGACAATGCTTAAGTTTTTTTTTACAAAATTGATGCTGGGATTTCTTAAATATGACGATGCCCACACATACATCTGTTACATAAACATAACATTCTGCTATAATCTTATTTCAAAATGTACTACGCCGTGTGAGGTGCGAAGCTAGAATGAACTTACACGTGCACGTACCCGTAAACTACCCGTAGCATGTGCCTCAATCTGATTGGTCAAAACCTCTGCACGAGACAGACAACTGCCCTCGTATACTCGGTGTATACAGGACAAATATTTCCCGCTATTCTCCGAAACACAAGATAGTGCTACGTACATGTGTATTTTTTATACACATTTTACAATGCTGTCAGTTTTTAAATGAATTACCAGCATGTAACATACAGTAAGGAACTAATTCAGTTTTATTTCTTTCATTCCGTTCTGCTATAATCTTATTTCAAAATGTACTACGCCGTGCGAGGAGCGAAGCTAGAATGAACTTACACGTGCACGTACCCGTAAACTATCCTTAGCATGTGCCTCAATCTGATCGGTCAAAACCTCTGCACGAGACAGACAACTGCCCTCGTATACTCCGTGTATACAGGACAAATATTTCCCGCTATTCTCCGAAACACAAGATAGTGCTACGTACATGTGTATTTTTTATACACATTTTACGATGCTGTCAGTTTTTAAATGAATTACCAGCATGTAACATACAGTAAGGAACTAATTCAGTTTTATTTCTTTCATTCCGTTCCATAGAAATATATGCTGCGACACAACGGAAAATATCTATATAGGTATACATCCAAAAAGGAAAATGAACCATACAAAGATATATTCTGCATTTCCAAATAAATAATGCTTCAAAAACTGGCAGTTTAGTCTAGTTTTCTACTGATCTTGGACTTTTACAGGAAATAGATCTTGTTTTATATGAAACAATTGTTTTACTTACAGGTCCATCACCAGGCAGGCAACCAAAGACAGAAGATCAAAGTCAGCAACAGTCTACAGGTATGTGGGATCGTAGTTTTTTGGATGTAAAATCAAGGCGAGATTTAATTGTTACGGTAAACATTTGGTAAGATCGAACAAAATGAAATAAATATTGCCAATCCTATTCGAATTACACGAAATTAAGCCGAGTAAAAAGTAGTTCGAACTATCCAAGTATACGGAACAACGACGGCATTATTGAGATTTAGTACATCACATGATAATTTCTAGGATAGCTATTGGATAACTACCCTTGTTCTATTTGGTATAGTTAGCATCCGCCCTTGACAACGGGAACTATACTTGGAGACGGGCACTAGTATACCTTTTTATTGGACCGCTGAGACTGCGGGAAAAGTAGCGTGACACTAAGAGTTGCGCCCCTTCTCCAGAGGGCGCTGTACATATTCTACTTTCACTTCATTGTTGTCGTCTGCCAAAATGGCTTCGAATTTCGGGACCAGGAATGCCGATTGCTTTACAGAGGCTCAGCAATGCATAAAGACGAAGTAGGCGACACCGTTTGACGTCGCAATCCTTAAAGCCTTCCTACTGGAAAGGGGGACCGTACATTGTATGTGACTTAGCGGTGATCTTAATCCAGTGAATTGAATATGCAACAAACAAGAAGAGATCTACTCAAAAAATTATCGTATATTGCCATTTGTTGTTAATTATTAAATATGTTACTTTTTATTGTCAAATGACAGTCATGTGATGTACTAAATATATTATGACCCTTTCCTTCGGGAACAGTTCTCTTTTAGTGTTGTCTGGAGAGGTATAGTGCCCTTGCCTAACGGCTCGGGCACTTATACCTCCCCAGACAACACTATAAGAGAACAGTTCCTTTGGGAAAGGGCCATAATAGAATAATATACTTGCAAATCTGGAGATGAATAATGGAAAATATATCTTTATTATATTTACTTACATATATTGATAATCAATTAATAAGTTCAATTGCAAAGCAGAGACAAGTATGTAGGCGGCAAAGCAGTAGATGTTTCTCGAGTAATGACGAAAGTTCAGGTGTACTGATCAGAATGCGGAGGGTGGATTGAAACTGCAATTACCGATTAATAGTTCGATCGACCACCTGGTCAGATATTTTTGTTTTGGCATATGTATAGGTAATATATCAATTAAGTTGTAAATAAATCGGTGGTCAGGTCGCAATTATATAATCAAATTGTAATCACAGTAATATCATGATAATACAAATGTCTGTCAAATAATGTTTGAAATTATTCTATATTTTTATAAAAAATATAAACGATCGCGAAGCGGTGGTAGGTAAATCTACACTATCATACTACATATCTATAATATACGCTTTAAACATATTCCTTATACAACATTCTGCAACATGCGTAAACACACCACGTCGCTCACTCATCTATACTCAATCGTATATATTAATGACCACAATAAAATTGATATATAATTACATTTGTATAATGTTATTGTTACTTTGTTATTATATATAAATAAGCACCAATGATCCTAATTCAATATCTAAACAACTATCACACAAACCCATTCGCTCTCACTGCGCTCCGTACAATTTCGCCTGTTTACTAAATTTAAGAAATAACGTTTATTACACGGTCAAATATACACAGAATCAACAATCTAACTCGCAAGATACACACAGATCTATAGATGATTAAAATATAACTTACCGTGAGCTGTATTTCACGCTAACTCCCGAATACTTCACAATAACAGAAGCAGAAATGAAAACAATGGGTCACGCCATTACACCTGTCTTTCACACCTGTCAAAACAACTCTGCGCGTGCCCAGGTAAATATGAAGTCAGCCCACTTTTCTTTACCCGCAAAATAAAAATAACCTACCTTTCCCTCATACTTACCGCATGGAATATATAGTAACCTCAAATGTTGATATGTGACAGCCAGTAGTGTGCTGGGAAGAACTTCATGAAGGGTTAACAAATGACCTAGATAGACTTAAAAGGTCAAAGGGGTCAAATGTGTTTTAAACAACTTCTTTATTACTAACAGTTACAAGGTGACCAGTAACATACTTGGAAGAAGGGGTAACAAGTTTTACAACTGAATGACCTTGACACACTATCAAGATTGCTGGGGGTCAAAAGGTCAAATATGAATAAACCTTTAAAAGACCTCATCTGATTAAACAAAAGACTCAGGGTGATGATATTTGGACAGTAGCATGCTGGTATGAAAGGCTACAAAGTTTGGTTTAGTGAATGGAACCTTGTTAGACATTCAATATTTTAACAGGTTCTTTTTGAATGATCATGGTTATATTTAATGATATTGAGCCTTAGCCTTATTAGTACCATATACATATATTTGACCTTTGTCCACTTTAAAGATTACAAGTGTTAAGTTAATACAGGGCTAGAAATTGATTTTGAAAACCACTAGTCAATTGGACAATTTTTGCGGTCAGTGTGATAATTTCACCAACCCAATATTATTATACTGATGAAGTAATATCACATTGTGGACAATGTTGGCAGTCCATGTGATTATTTCACCAACGCAATATTATTATACTGATGAAGTAATATCACATTGTGGACAATGTTGGCGGTCCATGTGATTATTTCACAAACGCAATATTATTCAACTGATGAAATAATATCACATTGTGACTAGTTAACGAGGCTAGCAGTTTCTAGAACTGTAGTCTATCAAAAGATATGACTAGTCTCAGACAATCACACCAAAGGTGACTGGAAATCCCATTATATACTTCGCCACTTGTAAGTAAGTGGGTTTTACTGTAGCTGATTGAAATTTATCTTCTGACAAACATTTCTCATTTCTGACATCTTGTGACATATATTGTCTCATTTCTGACCTCTTGTGACATATATTGTCTCATTTCTGACATCTTGTGACATATATTGTCTCATTTCTGACATCTTGTGACATATATTGTCTCATTTCTGATATTGTCTCATTTCTGATATCTTGTGACATATAGTGTCTCATTTCTGACCTCTTGTGACATATATTGTTTCATTTCTGATATCTTGTGACATATATTGTCTCATTTCTGATATCTTGTGACATATATTGTTTCATTTCTGACATCTTGTGACATATATTGTTTCATTTCTGATATCTTGTGACATATGTTGTTTCATTTCTGACATCTTGTGACATATATTGTCTCATTTCTGACCTCTTGTGACATATATTGTCCCATTTCTGATATCTTGTGACATATATTGTTTCATTTCTGATTTCTTTCGACATATATTGTCTCATTTCTGACATCTTGTGACATATATTGTTTCATTTCTGATATCTTGTGACATACAAAATGTATATTGTCTCATTTCTGATATCTTGTGACATATATTGTTTCATTTCTGATTTCTTTCGACATGTATTGTCTCATTTCTGACATCTTGTGACATATATTTGCCCATATCTGACCTCTTGTGACATATATTGTCTCATTTCTGATATTTTGTGACCTATATTGTCTCATTTCTGATAATTTGTGACATATATTGTCTCATTTCTGACATCTTGTGACATATATTGTCTCATTTCTGACCTCTTGTGACATATATTGTCTCATTTCTGATATTTTGTGACATATATTGTCTCATTTCTGACATCTTGTGACATATATTGTCTCATTTCTGACATCTTGTGACATATATTGTTTCATTTCTGACATCTTGTGACATATATTGTTTTATTTCTAATATCTTGTGACATATATTGTCTCATTTCTGACCTCTTGTGACATATATTGTCCCATTTCTGATATCTTGTGACATATATTGTCTCATTTCTGACATCTTGTGACATATCTTGTCTCATTTCTGACATCTTGTGACACACATTGTCTCATTTCTGATATCTTGTGACATATATTGTCTCATTTCTGACGTCTTGTGACATATATTGTCTCATTTCTGATATCTTGGGACATATATTGTCTCATTTCTGATATCTTGTGACATATATTGTCTCATTTCTGACGTCTTGTGACATATATTGTTTCATTTCTGACATCTTGTGACATATATTGTCTCAGTTCTGATATCTTGTGACACACATTGTCTCATTTCTAATATCTTGTGACACACATTGTCTCGTTTCTAATATCTTGTGAACGAAGTTGGCGGTGGGTATACTGGTATCACTCTGTCTGTCTGTCCATCTGTAGGTCTGTCTGTCTGTAAACAAAATATTGTACCTCCAACTTCTCCTAGGTTTATTTATGCATATTTGATGCAACTTTGCACACATGGTTTGCTTCAAATGTGTCTCCTGAAAGCCATTATTTTCCTTCAGTATTTACCAGAGTTATGGTCCTTGACTTCTGTAGAGAATACATTAGGTTACTGAAATGGCTAATTATCTCGGAAACAGTAGGTATTTTGTATACACATATACATTGGAATATTGTAGAGATTAATGAAAGCTACTTTATTAACAACTTTCTGAGGTCTTGGGGTCAAAGTTCACAATTGAATTACGATACTGAAATGGCTAATTATCTCAGAAATGGTAGCTATTTTGTATACACATATACATCAGAGTATTGTAGCCAATTATGCAGGCTACATTGAGACAAATCTGAGGTCATCGACTCAAAGGTCACAGTAGCAATGCTTTTAGCTCATCTGGCCCGAAGGGCCATGTGAGCTTATGCCGTACTGCGTCGTCCGGTGTCCGGCGTTCGTCGTCGAGCGTCCGTCCTTCAACTTTTTCTCTTAAACAACCTCTTCTGAAGAACTGGAGGACCTAGTGTCATGATATTTGGCCAGTAGGTACCTGGGATGAAGTGCTATAAAGTTTCCTCAATGACCTTGACCTACTTTCAAGGTCACAGGAGTCAAATATGTTCAAACATTGAAACAACAATATCCTAAGAACCATTTGGACTAGAGTCTTGATACTTGGTTATATTATGTTATGTAGACCAGCAGTGCAAATAGTTTTCTTATCCACAGTAATGAGGTCAAAGGTCAACTTTAAGTGCCAGTCGGGGGTCAAATGTCAACATGGGTTAAACGCTTTAACAATCTTCTTCTCAAGTTCCTTAAGGCCTAGGGTCATTATATTTGGCCAATAGGTACCTTGGATGGAGTGCTATAAAGTTTCCTCATTAAAATGACCTTGACCTTCTTTCAAGGTCACATGGATCAAATATGTTAAAAACTTCAAACAACAATATATTAAGAAGCATTTGGACTAGAGTCTTGATACTTGGGTATGTAATGTAGACCAGCTGTGCAAATCTTTTTCTTCATTACAGTAATGAGATCAAAGGTTAACTTTGAGTGCTAGCCGGAGTCAAAGGTTGACGTGGGTTAAATGCTTTAAAATTACAATTTCAAATTTCAAACAATAATATCTTAAGAGTTTAAGAGATGTTAAAATATCTTGTGTTCTAGTTACCAAATTTGGTCTGAAGTTACCTATATGTCAGTTTCATGTAACAAAAGAAAAAGGTGAGCGATACAGGCCCTCTGGGCCTCTTGTTTGAAGCATTCTTACGCATTATTATACACTATATTATAGTAGTAAGGTTTTCACTAGGACACTTGACCTTATACACTGGCTAAGTGTTCTGTCCATTTCCACTATATTATAATAATAGTAGTAAGATTTTCACATATCCTTTGTATGCCTGTCTGTGTNTCTAGTGACATTTGAAAGATACGTTATATGGCCTGTAGCTTGTAGGGTAAGGGACCATCAACTTTGCACATGGAACTGCCTGCTGTTCACATTTAAGGTCACTTGGGTCAAATGTGTTAAAATCTACAATTAACATCTTCAAATATATGTTGGTATAAACTAATTTACCTAGTTACTATGCAGTGAGGAAATGGATTATTTTTCATTGTTAAGTTAAAGGAACCGTTACATTGACTCAAGTTTGTATCATTCTCTTATAACAGAAACCAACAGCTACACAGGGGAACCAGTCAGTGGACATTTAAGCAGAGAAGTAGCATCCTCATATGATGTTCATCACAATGTTGAATCACCTCACATGAGATCTGAAGTGCATTCTGGTAATCCTCACATGAGATCTGAAGTGCATTCTGGTAAGCCTCACATGAGATCTGAAGTACATTCTGGTAATCCTCACATGAGCACTGTAACTCACTCAAGTGATAGTATCGTGCAGGTCCAGTCATCAATCCCTAGTCAGGAGCAAATCAACCTAGAAAGAGGCCAACTAGAGGCGATGGAGTATGGTGAGAAAACCACATCACCTAAGATAGCACTGCCAGAGAAAAACACTGACAGCAGGGGATGCCAGACAGGAGACAGGATTCCAAATACTCAAACCATCACAGCTGGTGCTAGTGGTCCTGAAATAAAACATTTTTCTGGAGAGGCTGTAGGTAAAATGGCGTCAGCTTACCTGCAAGGATCAAATACAGAAGTGACAACGGTGGCAGTCAGCCAAACCCAGGGAGGGGCTACAGGGATAATGGTGCCTGCTAACCCCCAGGAAGGTACAACAATGGTGCAAGGTATGTGTATGAAAGAGTTCACTAATATCTATATTACTTATAAATTTACGTCACACCTTGGTTGTATGTTCATTGTGTAATGGGAGAAAGAGAAAGACAGGGCCAGACCGGGATTTGAACCAGGACCTCCGAACTCTAGACGGGCGCTCTACCAGTTGAGACACCTCATCACTGACTATCAAACCATTCCAGTAATATTACATTCCTCTCTCCTTTTTTTTAAGTCATAACCCCTGAAAGCATCACTATTTACAACCCAGATTTGGGTGTCTCCCCAAGCAAACAACTAATGCTTGAAACAAGGATTGTCAAGCATTCCAATTTTACCACAGGAGAGAAAGAAATGTACCCCAACAAGGTGGCACACACTGTAGTACAGTTTCTGGAGAGGCTGTAGGTAAAATGGGGTCAGCTTACCTGCAAGGAGCAAATACAGAAGTGACAACGGTGGCAGTCAGCCAAACCCAGGGAATTTTATCACAGGAGAAAGAGAAATATACCGCCACAAGGTGGCACACACTAGTACAATGGGATTGTACATACTGTAAGCATATGTACAATAGTTGTTATATATGTATACCTATAACTCCTAAGTTTTGGTCAGAGAGAGCAATCTGTTTAAGCGGCAGATAATGGAAGCCATCTGGATACGACGAAGTGGGCCAGTTCTAAATTGAGATGAGTGGGCTCAAAGACTCTCGAACATCTATGACCAAGTATTAAACAATTAAAGCCTGAATGGAGTCATTTCAGTACATATATAACGACTCTTTTGCATACGCTTACAGCGTAGTCGAATTAAAATCGATTTTGTGGACAACTCGTACACATTTTACACCTTTGTGTGTATAAACTTCACTGGTCATTTGTATTATGAAGGTGCCAGTGTACATATCATACTAGTCATTGAAATGTCACATTGAAAATCTTATTGGTTGTGTAAAAAAAGAACTTTTCATAATCCATACTTACCAACCTGAAGAAAATGTTTAGAAATAACCACAAGTCCTTTGTTTTCCATTCAATACCAAACTGTCATGAGTTTTAATTTCACTCTAATTAATCATTGTTTTTGTTGTCCTTTAGTACAAAAGCAGAAAATAGGCAAAGTGAACTTATCATTTAGCGGAGAAGCCAGTGTGATTGGAGATAACGCCACTATCACTATCAACAGAACGGGTGAGTAACAGACTGTAACTCAGTGTGGATATATATGTATCTAGGTGTATGTATGTAATATCTATTATTATACTGTAAGTTTTTTTTGTCTGACTGCATTTTAGAGGATGATCCTTAAAGGGACATCACGTGAAGAGCCATATTTTTTTTAATGAATGTATATATTGTATCAGGGACAGTATACGTCCCTGATTGTATGCACTTCCACTTATGTTACCTCGCTATTCCCATATTCATAGTCCGTTCCAAATGTCCAGTTTGACCACGTGAATTGTTCGGGAAAGCCCTGCTAAAAATAGCGCCGATAACGTCACCTGACTCGGCAGTAAACACAAGTGGTCTGAGCGAGATGAAACGGTTTCAAGAGGGGCCCCCAGAGAGGGACGGTAGGCAACTGCAACTTACCGCGCTATGAAACCAAGTAATATGATTTCTGAGTCCGTATTCAAACTTATTGAACAGTAATTATTCATCATTAGAAGTTAATTGCACACTTGCAAATATTCAGAATTTAAATCGATTTAGCTTTAAACATATTTGTTACCAATAAAATTGAACAAGGGATGGGGCACAAGTTTTTACAATTTATCACAGCATTTTCCCGTCATACATTTACAATTAAATGTCAACAATGATAATAGGCATAAACATAAAGTAGATATTATAAATATATATTGAATTTAATACCAGAATGTTACCGGTACAGATGGTACGGGCCTAAACACCTTCCCTCAACCATGGGACAAACCTTTCTGGGTTTTTTTTATATATTGCCGGGGCAGAGGAGGCCAGGTATTCATATTAGTACTAATTTAAATCTTGCATGTAAAACCAAAAAATCGTTTAATTCAGCAATATAATCAAATCATACCATTTTACTAAACCCGGTAATATTATAAATTATGTAAATCTAATAGCGCACGTGTCTTGATGACCCCGAAAATACCCCGTGGGCCTTCACAACAGTTATCCCTTTGAGGGCCTCATGGCAAAATCAAACTAACCAGTCACTTATCCCATCATAGAAACACAAAGTAAACTCTCTCTGATAAATGCCCATTAACACATTAAACTAAGTTCATCTGTGTTCAAACTCAGACAAAGATACTAGCGAGCTTAATAGTTTTAGATATGTATTCATAACAGAAACAGCGCTAGCATTTCTGTCGATTCCATTTCAGCTTAACCGGCTATTCGGAAGAATACATGCACCGTACTAACTGCTAGGGCAGTTATTTTCTCCTTCAAATACTGCCCACCTACGATAATGATTCCGTAACGTACTCCTTGCGCTATCTTTCGACCATTTTGCAACTTTTCGTTTCGTAGCTGACACGGTACAACACTTTCGCTTACTTCACACGGCCAGTCATTTTGTTTACAAAGAAATGGTGTGCTATGCGCATGCGCTAGTAGAGGGAAATCCCTGAACAAAACGTTGGTCAGACAGGTAGAAATACCGATGATTTTCTTAGATTTAATCATTTTTATGAATCTATTTCAGCCAAATCCGATCGTTATTTTCCATAAGGAGTCTCACTTGATATGTTTATGTAGTATTTGAAATAAAGACAAAAAATAAAGTTTCTTCACCGTGATGCCCCTTTAAAATCAGTAATTTGTTGTAATTGTTTCTAGAAATAATAGTACTGAAAGTTATTGATTTACTGTGATGGCATATTTCTGCCATCGACTTTTGACTTGCGAGTTACTTATGTTGACATAATTTTTAAAAGATGTCGACGTAGTTTATGAATATGTCGGAATTAACATTTGAATTATGATTTTTGCATTTTCTGAGATGATTTTGCCGAGATAATTATCACGTACGGTAAGTAGGTAACTCGACTTTTTATCGTGGTAATGCTCAGATGTGACATTGAATTGTCACTTATTTATGCAAAACAAAACGAGTAGTTAACCAATCATTTTCCTTTAAATGATCACATGGTGTACTATAAGCTTATAATAAGGTATATTACAACGATTTAGCCTTAATTAAGGTTTCGTATATCAGCAATATAAGTCACGTGATAATTTCTTATAGAGTGAATTGTTAACTGCTCATTTGCTTTGCATACATAAATGGCAACTCGTTGTCACATCTGAGCATAAACATGAGCAAAAAATATGTCGAAATAATTGAAACACATATTCATAGATTATGTCCACATAGGTAACTCACAAGTCGAAAGTCAATGCCACCATAGCTAACAGATGCTTTTCCTTCCAAATTCCAAAACACGTGAGTCACAATAAAAATCTGGTATTTATGTCGATAGGTTGATCTAGGATGTCATCGGTATGAAAAATAATAGCAGTTTCCTTTGAAAGTTTTAGATGATGAAGCTAAAGCCTTGATGACAGGCTTGATGTCTGAACTCAAACAGACTAGGGACGGACAGTATGTGGACCAGAGGGTGCCACCAAAAAAGTCACAAAAGACATCAGGAACTCAGACCAGTGGTAAGGTTATATCTTCTGGATTCCACTGATATTTCCACCGATAGTTCCACTTGTCTTATGGACCCCTGTATTTGTGTTTAATTAATAAATATTTCAAGAAACATCAGTTTAATACAGCTGTATTTACTGACTTGTTTATGAAAGCCACATGCAGTCTGCTTTAGGTTTAATTGTTTTTTTAGCTCACCTGCCCGAAGGGCAAGTGAGCTTATGTTATGGTGCGGAGTCCGTCGTCCGTCCGTCCGTCCGTCCGTCCGGCGTCTGGCGTCTGGCGTCCGTCCGGCGTCAACTTTCGCTTTAAACAACTTCTTTTCAATAACCAAAAGTCCTAGGAAGACGATATTTGGCTAGTAGCATGCTGGGATCAAGGGCTACCAAGTTTGTTCAAATAAATGACCTTGACCCACTTTCAAGGTCACAGGGGTCAAATATGTTGAAATCTTCAAACAACTTCTTCTCAATAACCAAAAGGCCCAGGGTACTGATATTGGGCCAGTAGCATGCTGGGATCGAGGGCTACCAAGTTTGTTCAAATGAATGACCTTGTTCGACATTCAAGGTCACTGGTGTCAGATGTCTTTAAAATCTTCAAACAACTTCTTCTCAATAACCAAATTGCCCAGGGTACTGATATTGGGCCTGTAGCTTGCTGGGATGAAGGGCTATCAAGTTTGTTCAAATAAATGACCTTGGCCCACTTTCAAGGTCACAGGGTTGAAATATGTTAAAATCTTCAAACAACTTCTTCTCAATAACCAAAATGCCCAGGGTACTGATATTTGGCCTGTAGCATGCTGGGATGAAGGACTATCAAGTTTAATCAAATGAATGACCTTGACCAACTTTCAAGGTCACAGGGGTCAAATGTTGTAAAATCTTCAAGCGACTTCTTCTCAATAAGCAAAAGGGCCAGGGTACTGAAATTGGGCCAGTAGCATGCTGGGATCAAGGGCTACCAAGTTTGTTCAAATGAATGACCTTGGCCCACTTTCAAGGTCACTGGTGTCAGATGTCTTTAAAATCTTCAAACAACTTCTTCTCAATAACCAAATTGCCCAGGGTACTGATATTGGGCCTGTAGCTTGCTGGGATGAAGGGCTATAAAGTTTAATCAAATGAATGACCTTGACCAACTTTCAAGGTCACAGGGGTCAAATGTTGTAAAATCTTCAAGCGACTTCTTCTCAATAAGCAAAAGGGCCAGGGTACTGAAATTGGGCCTGTAGCATGCTGGGATGAAGGACTACTATGTTAGTTCAAATGAATGACCTTGATCCACTTTCAACCTAATGTCCTTGTTCGACAATCAAGGTCAGAGGCGTCATATGTTTAAATCTTTTTAATAGGTTCTTATGAAATCTTAAGATTACAAGTGTTAGATTAATAACAGGTGAGCGATGCAGGCCCATTGGGCCTCTTGTTTGTAGCTACTAACAAGTATGTTTAAAGATTAATTTATTTTCAAATCAATAACTGCTGCAGATATCATACACATATTTTGCCAGTCGTAAATAGTGTTGTTTTTAGCTCACATGACCCGAAGGGCCAAGTGGGCTTATGGCATGGTGCGTCTGTCCGGCGTCTGTCCGGCTTCAACATTTTTGTCTTAAAACAACTTCTTCTGAATAACCAAAAGGCCTAGGCTGATGATATTTGGCCAGTAGCGTGCTGGGATGAAGGGGTACCAAGTTTGTTCAAATGAATGACCTTTGCCAATATTCAAGGTCACAGAGGTCAAATATGTTGAACAATTTAAACAACTTCTTCTGAATAACCAAAAGATTCAGGGTGATGATTTTTGGCCAGAAGCATGTGAGAATGAAGGACTACCAAGTTTGTGCAAACGAATGACCTTCATCTATATTCAAGGTCACAGGGGTCAATTGTCTTGAAAACCTTTAAACAACTTCTCCTGTATTACCAAAAGGTCCAGGGTGATGATATTTGCCCAGAAGGATGTTGGCAGGAAAGGCTACCAAGTTTATTCAATCAAATGACCTTCACTGAGATTCAAGTTCAAAGGAGTCAACTGTCTTAAAAACCTTTAAACGTCTTCTTCTGTATAACCAAAAGGTCCAGGATGATGATATTTGGCCAGCAGGATGTTGGCATTAAGGGCTACCAAGTTTGTTCAAATGAATGACCTTTGCCCTTATTCAAGGTCATAGGGGTCAAACATGCTAAAATCTTTAAACAACTTCTTCTGAATGACCTTGACATACTTTCATGGTCACATCTGGTCCTTAGTGCATAAATCTTTAAAAGTCATCTTCTCAATAAACAAAAGGTATAAGGTGGTGATATTTGGCAAGTTGCATTCTGGGAGGAAGGGCTATGAAGTTTGTTCAAATTAATGTCCATGTTTGACTTTCAAGGTTACAGGGGTCAAATGTGTTTTAATCGTTTAACAGGTTCTTCTGAATGACTTGAGGTCAAGACACTGATATTTTGCCAGTAGCTTTTTTTAGTCCACTTTTAAGGTAACAATTGTGAGATTAATACCAGGTGAGCGATGCAGGCCCATTGGGCCTCTTGTTCTTTTCCATCGGTCTGTTCGTAAGACATCTGAGGTAAGACTTTTCCATGAGCCTTGATCTTTCTATATTTTTTTCAGTTGTTAATTTAGCGCCTACAGGTGCGGCACGCAGCCGGAAGACGGGGGATTTAAGTTGGCCCATAAGCAGCAGTTCAAGTGTTTTTGTCTAAATATCATGAAATATCCTCTCATATAGGGGTGTGTGTTTCAGCCATGTATAGTAAAAACAAAAATGTCATGTGTTACTTACTATAAACAGAATTTCATGTTATCGCTTTACAGAATGCGTTTGTTATCTGACTCCTCGTCTGAGGTTTTTCTGCTGTCAAACCTTAAGGCCAACCTTATTATAAATAGAATTTTGGTGATAAAAACTTTATTTAATGTAACAATTATGAAACAAGTTGTATCAACTTATATTATTATTTGGTGGGCCCATATATTAGCACACAGGGAGCCTTAGTGTGGGAGGAAACATGAAAAAAAAACCATTGTTGGGCAGGTGTCCCCTTTAATTATAAACTATTTATTTTACAACAATTATGAAACAAGTTATTTCAACCTTTTCACGTCCGATCGGCGAAACGAACCCCGGCCGCCTTGGTGAAAGGCAAGTGCGCTATCCACTGCACCACCCGACCACCCAAGGTGTCCCCTTACCTTTCCATGTCCGATCAGGGTGTTGAACCCCAGTCATCAAGGTGACACACAGACATGCTATATATTGCGCCATCCGAACACCTGAGTTATGGTGTCATTGCTCTATATATTTCTTTTCCTATCCTATTGTCATAAAACTTTTAACTCATACAAATTAATAGTTCAACTTCAGAGGGTCAAAACAAAGTCACTGTTAAAATCTCACCTGGCCCGTCCGGTGTCAATTTTTTAGGTCACCTGAGACAAAATCCCAAGTGACCTATTGCGATCGCCTTTTATCCGGCGGCGTCCGTCGTCCGTCGTGCGTCCGAAAACAATTTACATTTTCGACTTCTTCTCCAAAACCCTTAAACCTTCCATGGCCAAAGGTCAACTAAAATTTTGAATTATATGGTCCCCAGCCCCCAGGGGCCTGAGGGGCGGGGCCAAAAAGGGGAAAATTGACTAAAATTTCAATAAATCTTCTTCTCAAGATCCAGATATGGTAGAATCAAATACTTTTCATAGATGGAAGGGTCTTAAGGTGCTTTACCAAAATTTGTGAATTTCATGACCCTTGGGTCTCACGTTTCCCCCTGGGGAGGGGGTAAACTTTACTATAGTTTACATAGAGAAATCACATTTTGGACTAACATTTGTTAAATTGCCATTGAAAGTAATTCAATTTGGGTTAGAATTATCAGTATTGGATAGCAGTTTGATGGTATGCACGTCTCAGCCCTGACTGACCCCCGGGGCTGATGGGGGGGGCCAAAAAGGGTAAAATTGACTAAAATTTCAATAAATCTTCTTCTCAAGATCCAGATATGGGAGAATCAAATACTCTTCATAGATAGAATTTGTGAATTTCATGACCATTGGGTCTCACGTTTCTCCCTGGGGAGGGGGTAAACTCTACTATAGTTTACATAGAGAAATCACATTTTGGACCACCATTTGTTTAATTGCGATTGGAAGTAATTCAATTTGGGTTAGAATTAGCAGTATTAGATAGCAGGTTGATGGTATGCACATCTCAGCCCTGACTGACCCCCCGGGGCTGATGAATGGGACCAAAAAGGGTTGAATTGACTGAAATTTCAAAAATCTTCTTCTCAAGACCCAGATATGGTAGAATCAAATACTCTTCATAGATGGAAGGGTCTTAAGGTGCTTTACCAAAATTGTGAATTTCATGACCCTGGGGTCTCGCGTTTCCCCCTGGGGAAGGGGGGGGGGGGGGCAAAATTTGTTATGGTTTATAATGGCAAATGATACTTTGAATATTACATGTTGATAACTTGATTGGAATTATAACCCTAAGTTGACAGTTTGATACTTTGTAAATTTTGAGCCATCCCTACCCCCAAGGGCTGTAGGGTAAGGCCCAATGGAGTCTGTGTGCTAAAACAAAATTTCTTCATTTTCCTTGTTTAGAATCAGAGGTGCTAGTTTCAAATACTTTTCAGTCTTAAATCTGCATTCTAGATATTGAATAAGGTGGTTTTATTGTTTTTTGTCACTTTGAATAATATTTCTGTTCATGTTAAAAACAAAAATCAACTCTCTGTATAAATATATCAGCTGACCGTTAAGGCCCATGGGCCTCTTGTTAGTTAAACTGCCCAAAGGGCTAGCAAGCTTATGTCATGGCATGGCATCTATCGTTCAGCTGTCCAGCATCTGCCAACTTTTCCGTTAAACAACTTCTGAAGAAGAATGGAGAGGTCACAGGGGTCAAATATGTCAAAACCTTAAACAACTTCTTCTGAAGAACTGAAAGGAATAAAATCTTAATATTATACTGGTAAATTCTTGGGATGGAGCCTGACATTGGTTGTGAGTGAAAATGACTTTGACCTATTTTGAAGGTCACAGGGGTCAGATATATCAAACATTGCAGAGAACTTCTTCTTAATAATAAAATTGCATAGAAGCATACTATGTGGTAGGTAGCTTCCTAGGATGGAGGCCGACAAAGTTTGAAAATTAAAATAACCTTGACCTACTTTCAAGGTCACAGGAGTCAAATATGTTAAGCACTTCAAACGATTTTCTCTTAAGAACCAAAATGCATAGAATCATAATATTTGGCTTGCAGCCGCCTAGGATGGAGGCCGACAAAGTTTGAAAATTTAAATAACCTTGATCTATTTTCAAGGTCACAGGAGTCAAATATGTTAAGCACTTCAAACGATTCCCTCTTAAGAACCAAAATGCATAGAATCGTAATATTTGGCTTGCAGCCACCTGTGATGGAGCCCAGCAAAGTTTGCAAAGAAAATAATCCGACCATTACAAGTAATAAATATGTCAAAACCTGTAAATGACTTCTTTTGAAGAACTGAAAGACATAGAGTCTTGATATTTTACATGTAGCTTCCTTAGATGGATCCCAAAAGTTGGGGAATAAAAATGATTTTGACTTAGTTGCAAAGTCACAGGGATCAAAGGTGTTAACATCTTGAAATGTCTTTTTCTGCATTTCCAAAAGACTCTGGGTGATAATGTTTGGCCAGATCAAAAACAGAATCAGGGGCTATCTTTTGTTTTCCAATGAATAGCCTCATTCAAGGTCACAGGTCACATGATAGTTGACAAATGTTTAAAGGAATGACATTGACCCACTTTCTAGGTCACATGGGTCAAATGACAATCTCATTGACCAAGAGCCACAAGGTAATGATACTTCGGATTAAGAGTTACCGAGTTTGTTCAACTGAATGACTTTGTTAAGACTTGTCAAAGTTACTGGGGTAAAATAGGTTCAAATCTTTTAACAGGTTGGTTTGAAATTTGTTCAAATGAATGACCTTGCCGTATCTTCAAGGTCACATGGGTCAAATATGTCAAACATTTCAAATGACTTGATCTAACAGAAAGGTCAAGCGTGATATATTTGGTCAGTAGCATACATAGGGGAAAGGAAATAAGGTGTATTGAATTGATCATGAATGATTTTGACCCACTGTTACGATAAAAAAGGCAAATATGTTAAAATATTTCTATATAATATGCTTCTTTTGAATAGATGCCAAGTCTTCTGAACAATTAAATGTTCCAGAATGATCATGGAAAATATTTTGTTGAACTTTAAGATATTTGAATTTAGTTGACTTGACTATAGTGAATATACATGTTTATCATATTTTTCCAGGTGATCTGGCTGCTAAGAATGTCACAATAGCAAATGCAAGCCATGCCAAAAGTAAGTTTGACAGCTGCAAGGTTGCTTGATCAATGGAATATAGATATTATCTCGCCTTTCAATTAAGCTTCAGTCAATGAAAACAGATAATCAGGTGATTTGATGAATCATTTAAGTAAAAGCATCAACATGGCTATTTTGACATAACATTGATATAAGGTGTTTGTGAGTCAGAAGACAAGTACCTGTACTAGTTCTCTATACATGTAATGATATCTACTAGTGCACTACATGTATTATGATTCATGGTTTGGATATAGATTTGTCAAGTTCAGATTACAACATGAGATTAATAATTAGTAAGAAAATTGTCTGTAATAAATAGTCTGTTTAAAATTCAGTAAGATATGCCTTACCTATTTAATGTAAATTTCTTTACAGAAATCCATTCTGACTTAGAACCCATGATAGGTGAGTCTTATCTACTGGATTGGACATGGTTAGAGAAGAAATGCAGCAGATTACCTCAAAACTTGGACCAGAACAGCATGCATCATCTAAAGATATATTAAAGAAGTTATACTTATGTTTGAATGAGAATCTTAGTTCACCAAAAGAGTAACTCTTGATAGCCAGATTTATCCCCAATCTGATTTTTTTTTTTCTTTCTCAGTTTCTATTCTCTACAGTGTAGGATCTAGCAATCGGTACATAACAGGTAACATTCTGGTGAATTTTATTGCAGCCAATCATTGAAATGTCCTCCAAATAGTCTCAATATTTCAAACACGTGTATTTAATGTATAATTAATAATGACTTCTGTATTAAAAGGTCACCAGATCATGATTGTTGATGCCATGTCATCAGATCCTACACCATTGATAATGTATAGGAACAGAATAAAATATTTAATTGATACGCTCAGCTGGAACAAAGTACCAGGGTGAGCTTATGTTGTGGTGCTTCATCTGTCGTCCTCTCTGTCGAACCATCACCTTTTGATTTCAATGACAACTCCTTCCAAATTATAGAGCATAATTCAACCAAATTTTAGCATCCTGAGGCCAAGGGATCAAAATATCTATAAATGAAGGTGCTGATAACATTTGGGGGCTGAGGGATGGGTCAAAAGGGGTCAAATGGTTGCATTTGCTTAAAATGACATATCCTCCTAAAATATAAAACAGATTTCAACTAAGTTGTACTAGCGGCATGCCTTAGACGATGGGGATCAAAAACTAAGCATAAAAAGGAGCTAACAATCTTGGGGATTGATGGATGGAATCAAAAGGGGCCAACTTCTAGGATTTTGTTAAAACTACAATCTACTGGTCAGGTTTTAATCAAATTGTTGTGGTAGCGTCCATAGCCCATGGTGGTCAAAAGTAATACAAATAAAGGGGCGGACATTCTTGGGGCTCTGGACCCAACCTACTGAGCAGATTTCAACTTGATTCCCCAAATAGCCAGGTGAGCGATTCAACGCCACTGGGCCATTTGTTCTGTAACGCTTATAAGTTCCTTCATTCATGAGGCAATGGATTGTAACAGAGGATATATTTCAGTGTAATGTTTTCACTAGGAAACAAACACCGGATGACTGGCTTACTAGTCTGACCCTCTACTGATTGGGTTAAAAGAAATTCTCTAAATAGCTTATTTGTAGGACACAAGGTCAGTAAACCAGAGGTCACAGGTTCAATTCCTAGCAGAGGCATAATTATAATAACATCTGTGATAGGATGTTCATGCAAAGAGTTGGATAACATGGAACATAGCATAAACATTATGTTGTCAGCATTTTCATCGATTGATAATATTTGACTGTGATGTTGTGATTCACTGTGATTTTACGTTATTTGACACTGGCATTTCTGACATCATGTTATGTAAGGATCATGTCTTTTTACTAAAAGATTGGTTACCATATAAATTCATTAACACTTTTGATTTGAAATTTTCTCAAATAGCTCACTCAAGTTACCCAGCCACCACTTATATGGTAAAAAATGTTACATGATATCATGACAAAATGTCTTGTTTACTTGAAATTTCAAAACTCTTCCTTTACAAATGATTCCCTACAGCATTCTGTAATTAATATTCGACTTATAGATTATAGCCATATAAGTATCATTCTTAACTATCCATTTAACACCTTGATCACTTCTCACCCTTTTTATCTATTTCTTTTTATACAGAAACAACCAAAGCCAATATCAGAGAAGGAAAAGAGAAAAAGTTTTACCACACCAAAGGTTTCCGTGATGCTAAAGACAAGCTCCAAAAGAACAGGGTTGTTGTCATCAAGGGAAATACGGGAGACGGTAAAACAGCAATCGCCGTTCAACTCCTTCATTGGCTGAGTCAGGAGCAAGGAGCTGGACAACCCTTACAGCTTCCTAATATTGAGAAATTAGATTTATTGACTCCAAACTTAAAACTGATCACTTTTATTGATGATATTTTTGGCGAGAAAGATGTGTGTAAAAAGGATGTACAAGAGTGGAACAGAAGAGTCTCAAATGTAAAAACACTTTTTCTTGGTGAGCAAACAGAGACAAATTTTCTTCTCATTACTGTTCGCAATGAAGTATTCAATTCTTTAGAAAAACGTTCTATGGGAACAATTTTTACCAAAGACAACTTAATTGATCTTAGCTCTGATACATACAAAGCTGAAGAAGAGAAAAAAAGACTATTAGAGCTGTATAAGCCAGAAAACTTTTCATGGACAGACAAAGAAAAAACACAAATTTTAACTTACGCACCAAACATTGGATTCCCACAATGTTGCCAGCTTTTCTACAATTCTGAAGAATTGCAGAAAGAACGAGTTAGATTTTTCGCTAAACCTTTTCATTTCTTGAATGAAGCATTGACAAGATTACAAGAATGTTCTGCACTTTTGTTTCTCTTCCTCAATGATAGTATGATAAGTGTAAAAGATCTTGATCAAAACAGTCAAAATGTCAATCAAAAATTGCTGGAAGAAGCTTTTGAAATCAATTTAATTGATGGTGAAAGTGACAGTACCAAATTGACGTGGAGGAAAAAAATAGGATTTGTAAAAGAAAGTTTAGAGAAATTGGTAGGAGTTTTAGTAGTGAAGGAGAAACATTTGTCTGGTGAGGATGTGTACAGATTTAATCATGATTCTATTTATGTTGCTGTGGCACTTTTGTATGGAAAAGTCACACCGATTGGCTTCATACAGAATTGCCCCAGCAAATCCCTCAGTTATCTAACAACCTCAAAAACAGCTACAAACATGATTGTCATAGCATCTAATCATTATACAGAAATGTGTGAGCGTCTACTCCGAGAGTTTGAATGTAAGAAGAATCAATATGGTACTAGTATTGGCTCTCTAGATGTATGGAATGATCCTGTATTTGTTAAAAGTTTTGTCGGGTTGTTGAATGACAGAAGAGTTGACAAACTTGATGTGTTGAATAAAGCAAGTTATTGGGGTGCAGAAGAATGTGCTTTATATCTTCTGTGTGAGGGAGTAGAACCTGACGAGGAGACAGTGATTGGTGTGGTGGAGGGAGGGAGTGTGAAAGTGTTACGTAAACTACTGGAGTATGACGTCATTCCTACAGCGAGGGATAAGGACAATAACAATGTCCTACATGAGGCGTGTGTGTATGAGAGAGAAGAGATGGTGACGTTGTTATGTGACACTTACCCACACTTGGTACATGACACTGATATGTTAGGACGAACCCCGCTCTATGATGTGGCACTGACAGGAAACTGTTCTATGTTTCAGACAATGGAGAGGTGTGTACTTAACTCCTTATATAGAGTTGACGACCAACAACACAAGTGTGAGTCGGTAAATGGTCGTGTGGTTCATAGGAACTGTGTGTGTGCTCAGTACATGGCTCAGTTAGTGGATGATGACGGGAGAACGGTGTTACATGTGAGTTGTATGCTGGGTAAGAGGGAGCTTTGTTTATATTTATGTCGGTCATACCCAGCACTAACTACAGCTGTAGATAAGTACGGCTGGCATTGTCTACATTACTTAGCTAGGTTTACATCAGATGTAGACTTGTTCACTGAGTGTGAATCTCATGTTAAACAATACCTAGAGTCTACAGGACGTAAGTATGACATCACAACCATACTTGACAAGAAAGGGAGCTCTGTTTTAGAAAAAGCGAAGGAAACGGCGAAGAACCTGGGGACAGAAAACAACCCATTGTTGGATCATCTTATTAAAGTGTTTGGTAAATAAAAATGATATTGATTTCTCAATGAAACGTGCAATTATAATCAACACAAACCTTTTAAAACAATTCTGTGCAAAGCTCATGTCATGATGATTTGTTTTGACGAGCACATTTTATCGGTAAATATTATAAAATGTGAGTGGTTTTTCAGTCCAAGTTTGCCGATCTTCTTTACGCTTCGTAAAAATACGACCAGGGGTATCCTCTTTGAGATGCGAGATTTTTGTTTTTTTCTTTGGAAAACACTGAAGACCTGAATGGAGTGGATCGTATCAGGTTTGAAATAAGAATATGATGTTTTATTCTGTTTTAAATATTACAAACATAGTCATGTTATATGTAATTTTAAATGTGCTGAAGCATTTTGTTAAATGCTGTGGAAATATTTCTTCCCAAATGAATCCTCAGTAGCAGTAAACTGTGTGATAAATTGTTGATAAATCTCAATGATATAATGAATATCTGTCGCTAATTAATGATGATTAAACATGATGTCTGGAGTAAACAGTGTACAGTGAATTTCACATTTCATCTTAACAGACTTGTAAGCATAGTCATTTTAAGGTAACCTTTATATCAGATCCCATTTTGGAGTCACTGTTAACTCCTTTGGGGCCAATCAGACATGATAGATTCATTTGACTGTTTCTGCCTTTAGTCTGGCCTCTTGTTCAGTTGTTGAGGTTATATGAGATGAGAAACAATAGTCAAACTCTGCAGTTACCAAAACAAAAATACATGTATAAGGAATGAGTGAAATTTTAGGTAAGCTCAATAATTTCTTTTTCTTTTTTACATTCTTGCACAATTGAAACGTAATAAAATAAGCAAATTCCAGTATGATTTTAAAAGCAATATCATTCACAGTTATTTTTTTTATTATTGTTTTACTTTCTACGCGATGACTGTGATCCAGTGTTCTAACAAATATAACTTAAATACACTTCATGGATCTGTAACTGAAACGAATGTTGATGATGTTGACATATATGTAAATGTAGAACAACTGATCCAGTCTTTTACCATTGAGTAGCTATAGATAGCTCAGTAAGTTAGAGCGAAAGTATAATGATCGGGAGTCAGGTTGAATCTTGAATCCTGGCCAGGCCCAGTTGTATTTGTAAACTCAATAGGTTAGAGCGACGGTATAGATTGGGAGTACTTGGTTCGGATCCTGGCCTTGCCTAGTTGTATTTGTAAACTCAATAGGTTAGAGCGACGGTATAGATTGGGAGTACTTGGTTCGGATCCTGGCCTTGCCTAGTTGTATTTGTAAACTCAATAGGTTAGAGCGACGGTATAGATTGGGAGTACTTGGTTCGGATCCTGGCCTTGCCTAGTTGTATTTGTAAACTCAATAGGTTAGAGCGACGGTATAGATTGGGAGTACTTGGTTCGGATCCTGGCCTTGCCTAGTTGTATTTGTAAACTCAATAGGTTAGAGCGACTGTATAGATCGGGAGTACTTGGTTCGGATCCTGGCCTTGCCTAGTTGTATTTGTAAACTCAAATGGCTAGAGCGGCGGTATAGATCGGGAGTACTTGGTTCGGATCCTGGCCTTGCCTAGTTGTATTTGTAAACTCAATAGGTTAGAGCGGCGGTATAGATTGGGAGTACTTGGTTCGGATCCTGGCCTTGCCCAGTTGTATTTGTAAACTCAATAGGTTAGAGTGACGGTAAAGATTGGGAGTGCTTGGTTCGGATCCTGGCCTTGCCTAGTTGTATTTTAAACTCAATAGGTTAGAGTGACGGTATAGATTGGGAGTACTTGGTTCGGATCCTGGCCTTGCCTAGCTGTATTTGTAAACTCAATAGGTTAGAGCGACGGTATAGATCGGGAGTACTTGGTTCGGATCCTGGCCTTGCCTTGTTGTATTTGTAAACTCAATAGGTTAGAGCGACTGTATAGATCGGGAGTACTTGGTTCGGATCCTGGCCTTGCCTTGTTGTATTTGTAAACTCAATAGGTTAGAGCGACGGTATAGATCGGGAGTACTTGGTTCGGATCCTGGTCTTGCCTAGTTGTATTTGTAAACTCAATAGGTTAGAGCGACGGTATAGATCGGGAGTACTTGGTTCGGATCCTGGCCTTGCCTAGTTGTATTTTAAACTCAAAAAGTTACAGTGAATGAGTGATAGTATAATAGACGAAAGTCTTTGGTTTGAATCCTGCCCTGGCCTTCTTGTATTTTTAGATTCAATAGGTTAGAGTGACATTAATATGATGAGTCCTTGGTTTGAATCCTGACCTGGTCTAGAGGTATTTTTATACTCAATAAGTTAGTGACATTAATAATGATCGGGAGTCCTGGGTACAAATCCTGGCCTGGCTCAGTTATATCTTTGTACTCCATAGGTTAGAGTGACAGTATTATACTCAATAGGGTAGAGTGACGTTATAATGATAAGGAGTCCTGGGTTCGAATCCTGACCTGGTCCAGTTATATTTTTATGCTCAATATTTTAGTAAGAGTGACGGTATAATGATAAGGAGTCCTTGGTTCGAATCCTGACCTGGTCCAGTTATATTTTTATACTCAATAGGTAAGAGCGACAGTACAATTATCAGGAGCCCGACCTTGGTTCAAATCCTGGCCTGGTCTAGTTGTATTTTGATATTCAATAGAATAGAGTGAAAGTATGATGATCAGGTATCCTGGGTTCGAATGCGGATGTGGTCCAGTTATATTTTCATACTCAATAGGCAAGAGTGACAGTATAATGATGTGGATGGAGTCCTTGGTTCGAATCCTAACCTGGCCCTGTTGTATTTTTATATTCAATAGGTTAGAGTGACAATATAATGTTTGAGAGTCTACGGTTCGAATCCTGACCTGGTCAAGTTATATTTTCTATTCAGTTCTGCAGGGGCTGGTTATTAATAAATGATTTCTCACATGAATAATCATGTCAGATAAAAGTTTTGAATGCATTATTACATAATTAAGCTTGATTTTGTCAAAATTTTCACTTGTTCTGGAATTTATTTTGTTTCATTTCATAAGGAGTATTATTTTAAAAATGTAATATCTTCTTAATTTTGAAGTTAAGAAATGTTGTTATTTCCCTATATTTAATAATTGTCTGTATTCTGTATATACCAAATGACTGTTACCTTGAAAGAATTAACCTTATCTGTCTGAACAATGAGACAGATGATACTTTTGTATGTACTTTAGAAAATTATTGATGATTTAAGTGTTATAATAATTTGTACCACGTGAAAAGAAGGTTTTTTGCTTTCATGATGTAGTACGTTTTTCTGGAAATATATACATCAATTGAAATATTCTAATATATAGTTTATATTTGGATAGATATAGAAAATATGTTTCAGATATTATAGGATATGGTAGTAAAATGTTTGACTGAAATATCATGTACACACAAATGTATTTGTGAAAACAAGTACATGACATAGTGTGTATTATCCAAACAATTTGTACAATAAACATAATTGCATCTAGAAAATGTTTTTCTTTAATTTATTTTCTTACTTGGTCTATAAAAGATCATTCTGAGTTTATGTCATACAGCAGCTTCTGTCGTCAGTCAATAATATCTTTAATAAGGGCCATGCATCAAAGATGTGGGTTCGTTATAGCAATCCCGGTGTCAGAAAGTCTGTCTGACCATCCACACTTTCGTTTCTGGAGATTATCTTGGAATCTGTAATACCTATCTTTCTGAAAGTTGACAAGGTGATGGATACACTGTGAAATGTACGTGTACAATAGGATTTCAAAAATTAAGGACAGGGTCAAGGTCACTGTTATTAAAAATGAATTGGGATAGGGTGTACAGTCCTTTTATCGGGATCCAAAATTCTAAACTTTTTTTCAAATTTGACACAGCATTACACTGTGATATGTAGATGTGTGGTCGGGGTTTGGTCCTAATTTCGGAATCCAATAGTTTAATCTTATGAAATTTGATCTGTGATATGGACAATATGTAGATGTGCAATAAGTAGTTTAAAACTTTTGAATCCCATGGACATAGCAAGCCAATTCACTTGCATAATTTGGGAACTCGTGCGTGCACAAATTCCGTTTATGGAAGTCGCCATTTTGGATCTACCTGATGTAGAACAATTTCCAATGAATTTAATCTATTTCAATATAAAACCAAACGGTCTCAGATAACGTTTCTTTTCTTGTTCAATTTCAATTTTGCTATATATGACTTCTTCTGGGGTTCCGAGAGCGAAAGTAATCGTAACTCCTTGATATCGAGACGTAATTTATAATTCAATATCACAACACCCCATCCAAGTTTTATTAATCTGTATTTCAAGTGATGACTGAAGAATGTTAGGATTAAGGATCAACATTGCTCCGTGAATAAATGACAACTTGGCTTGCCATATAGGATACCCTTTTTAAATATTTACGTTAACGTTACCGATCTACTGAACCACGACTTAAATAGCCAATCTAAATATGTGACTAAACCAAGCTCTGCCTATCATGAGACAGACCTAACACAGGGCCCTTATTCAAAGAAAGTGTAGACGAAATTGATGCACATTCACTTTTGTTATAAACCGCCCAAAGAAAGTGTCCGATTAGATTAAACCAATGTGAATAACGTCTGCGTTGCTGCTTGTTCAGATAAGGACCTATAGATAATCTAATTCCGTGCCCAGATATGTCTCTGTTCCGATAACAGACTGATGAACATTTCGTAATACGTTCTTGACGTATTCAGATATGAGACATATGATACATTAGAGACGTGCTGATGATTTAAGTCTCCAATCTTCACTGACAAGATCAACATTTACTTGTAATGTACTTGTAGTCAAATGCAATTACCCATTCTTACACGCGACCCCAATAGCAATCATTCAATAGCCAAAAACATAACATTATACGTGTGAGTTCACCACGGGAGGGCGCAGTTACCGATACTAAAGATGTGGCTTGTTCCTTCGGCAATAACAAGACTGAGACTAGGTAAAACCAAACTTAACGACAACATAAGTATTATGAATAAAAAAAATACACCAACCTGTCCAAATTTTAACGCAAACGCAACAATAGAACATGTTGTTGGCACTGTTACAAGCACAAAGAAGCAAGGAAAGAATTAAGAAAAGACTTAAATGAAAATAAAATTCAATTATTATAATTAAAGAACTTCTGGCAATGAAAGAATCAGAAAGATCAATACATAAAATATTGAGCAAATATTTGAGCAAAATCGACTATTTAGAGGCATGCACCTGAGACCATTGGTCAAAGGGAAATAACTCTTATGAAACTTTTCCTTTTTATCTTTAAACGTGAATAGTCTCACGAAATCAAGATTTTTGGTTTTTAATAGTGTTTTTTTTATGAAAACCACCGAGAAAGAAAACACCTTTTTTCTATGCCTTATCCATTTAAGTTTATTGTTAACAGATACTTATATCTTTAAAATGCTATATCACAGAAATTAGAAATCAATCAGCAAAATAATAATTAATCCTTTGCCGTCCTACAAACAAGGGAAGTAGCTCAGAAGTGACTTACGCGAAAATTCGCTTATACATTCTGAATAAGTAAATATCAGTTTTCAACAAACAGCGCTCTCTTTAGGCTTTGCCTTTTCATATTATTTCAAAGGCCAAAATTGTAAACATTCTATCATAAATTTTCACTCTTGAACTCTTAGCTTTTCGGCCATGACGCTTTCTCTTGGACAAAATAGATAGTCAATACTTTTTTCGAAGTTGGAAAGGTTGAAAATATTCTCGTGTTTGTTCAGCTGTTTAGGAACAGTTTAGAACATCATATATGCTGTAGTTTGTGAAGTCAGAACACAGGGGCACGCAACTACTATCAATATTGATCTTGTTAGACTTTCAGTCGCTGGGTACGATATTGGGATAATATAAATCTGCAGAACAGCGAAGTGTTGTTCAATGAGGAAAGTGACCGGGACATATTACGGTTATCACTGAGAGTATAGTCACGTGACATTTCGGACTTTGACATCCAAAGACCTGATGGTTGTCAGTTCTTAAGCAAATATCAACCACATAAAAGAAAGTCATCAGAAAAAATTCCACGTTTTGCGAATGGATGCCAATTCGAAAGAAAGGTATTGAGAAACATTAAGATAACGGTTGCTGAGGATGAAACAAAAATCTCCTTTATTAAAGTCAGACACACGCGATAGATATGCGCAATTTTGGTGTTGTAAGGAGTTCACAAGATCAGAGACATATACAGCCAGTTTCTTATCTCTATAGTATATACGTCTCTGACAACATCAAGTCAGAAGCGCAGAGACATGCCGGTACCAGCGGACAAATAAAGGGCGATATTGTATTATTAGACTTGTGATACTATTAATAATTGTATGTCTACAATGTTAATATATGTTTTTATGATTAAATATCCAGAACGAAGTGAACGCTCTAATTCTGATTTTATTTATCTACCTTAACTGTTTATCATAAAGGTGTTTTACATAACATCTATATATATAGTATTTTATTGATAATTGCACTATCTCTGACCTTCAAGTCTAGTCTGTATATGAAGCGATATTGCTTACAGCATATATATATATTTGGTTCATTGGTTCATTGATTGTGACACCGTTGTAAGCGTCAGTCGCTTCTTGAGGTGCTTCTTAATTCTATTTTATTCTAAATTGTTTATTGTAAAATTTCAAAATATTTACAAGGCGGGTGACGTCGATGAAGTAGAAGACGCTTACTCTTCCTGAACACATGGTCTTATTCTCCTGGTACTTTTTAATGGAATCCATTTAAATATGGGCTCTGATCATACTGTGTTTTTGTTTCGTCGGGTCCGAATTACGGTTTTGTGTTGTTTTCTCTTGTAAGTGTTCGTAAACTGTATGAACCCTTTGGCAAATGACTTTTTCCTGATAGCCCAATTAAAACCCAAATCATAGAGTGAGCATGAGAAATAATGGCCAAGTCACAGACAATTTTTAGTGATGGTATGTGAAATTAAATGAAAGCGATAGTTTTTTAACATGTAATCGGAAGCTTTCCTGACAAGAAAAAATATCACCTTCCAATGGTCTCGCAGTTTACATTATATGATCGTTATTCGATCGTTTAACCCTATATTGATGTACGTATTGATTGATCAGAAATGTAGGGTAACAAAAATGTAAAAACTGTAGAACCAATTAATTTGAAAGTTTTTACGGAAATTTCGGGCATGCGATATTTGACTGAAACAATGACGATTTTAATAGTACTGGATCAATCCTCCAGATATATCTGTTTAGCTTATAAGCTTGATTTGTTTTATCTATGTGTTAGAGTTCGTAAGGTCCTGGGTTCGAACCCTGGTCAGGTCGTGCATTTCCCCCTCTTTATACATCTACATAGGATTAGGGTCGCCTTCTAGCTCAATCAGTTGAGCGGCAGACTGGGAACCTGGGGTCGCCGTTCCTATCCCGGGAGAAGCACACTACTTTTTCTCTATCGCTTTCCTGTTAAACGTTGTCCGTTGTCCTCGCTTTTGGTGACATGAAGTTAGAACCTCTGCTTCTGTGGTGTTCGAGAACAAAAGTAACAAGTGTGACAGCGTACTTCGAGGGATGTTCCCTTCAGATCAATCGATCAGTAGAGCGGCGGACTGGGAAGGTTGAGTCGCTGGTTCGATCCCCGGTAGATGCACACTTACGCTGTTTTCTTTATGTGGACTATGGCCCGTTTCGCGTATCCGGTTCAAGCGGGTTGTCTGTTTTTAAAAAAATGTAATAGTTTCGGGTATAAATCCTAGAAGACCTGATAATGTTTATGCGGGCCTTGCAATGCTTTGTCAAGGCTTTCGTGAAAACAGCATCAGATTATTAGGTCCGACCTCATTTCACAAAACGAACAACTCTGGTCAAATCGGTTCAATCGTTTGTATCGCGATAAACCAATACAGCCTTTGTGTTTGATGTAAAATATTTTGAAATATCTTTTATTTTCAAGGTTTGCTTTTGAAGCAGATATAGTTTGTTGTTATAGAGTAACAGTTACCGTCAGTACATGTATTCGCGGGCGTCTGGAATTCGGTGTTAATTCTGACATAAGATACAAGATGCTTTATTTAGTGTCGTATATGGCATAACATTGAAACATTAGCTCTGTGGAGCTATTTTTACGATAAACATAAGTATAAAAATAGAGTAATAAAAAGGTAAAAAGCATTCTAGTAGAAAAAATAGGATTATGCAGCAAACCTATAGATCTCTACATTGAAACTACTAAAATAATCAGAAAACAGTTTGATGATAGCACATGCATGTTAAAAAGCAGGAACAGTACTAATTATAAAATATGCATAAATCATAATTATGCATAAAACATATAAAAACATATCAGATTTAGCAGGCACATATTTCATATATATTACAGATGGTTAATAAGATACTTTATGCAGAGACGTATATACTACAGAGATTGGCAACTAGTACAGATCTCGTAAACGCACGCTTGAGCCTATTGTTATCGAGACACGTCGCGAGACTTGGGTTGCGGTTGCGCGATAATAAGAGGCAGAACCGGCTTCTGATTGTTTGTTTTGATAGCGATTATGTCCATACACAACAATGGTGGCGACGATGGTCTGTGCAAGGTGTTACCTGTGTATTTGTCAGGTCGTGTCAACATGTCATCAATATATGTATTATACGTCTCTGAGTAAAGTAAGAAGCAAAATAAAAGCAAAACCTCAAATAAAAATGGGGGATCAATAATGTAACAAGAAAGAGAATAGTGTGCTTCCACCGGGGATCGAACCCTCGATCTCTAGGTTCCTAGTCGGACGCTCTACCACTGAGCCAAAGGGAAATTCCCTCTAGCTCTAAGCTAGAAGGCGACCTAATGAATCCTATGTAAATTGAACCCTGCCACAATAAGATGAAAGTCAGGAACATATAGAACACTGGCAGAGGTCACCTTAAGAGTAACAAAAAACATAATGTATGTCTTTTAAAACATCTGATAGAGTTTTCATATTACTGCTATCATTGATTATTGGATTGAGACTCATGTGGTTTTTATCATATTCAAAGACTTACGTTATTTGTTAAAAGTATCCGGAAAACTTATCCGTGTTTTACCCTCACTCACGTCAATTAGAATTATCTCCCCTTTGGATGGTGTAAACTTCCTCTCGTGACACACATTGCACTGTCTACATCCTACATGTCACATCACCAAATCATTAAATGACAGAGGTCAACGCTTCGCAACGAATGAATGATGGCTGCGGTGGACAAGATCAAGATCGTCGTTGTGGGAGACTCTGGTCGGTAAACATTGAGTGATGCGCTAAATATTCACAAACATCACCAGAAAAAAAGCTGGACTATGAAACTGTGAATTCACCAACCGCAAATGTCTGAAATACACATGTACATATGCTATACTGATATGGGTCACAGCCCACAGCGTGTGTTTATGTGTGCTGTGTCCCATATCAGTATAGCATATAACAAACAAACATAGCAGACAAACCCAACAATTGTAACGTTCCGGGGTCCGTACCCTAGTCACTTCTAAGGATCCCTGTGCTGTAATCTTTATTATAACTATACTACAGTTGCAAATATATACAAATATGTGTTACTACTTTGTAACCAGCATACCTAATGCTTAATACATGATATGAACAGAATAATTACTGCACGACTATAAAACTATTACCAAAGCTATCTGCTCTGTATCAATATAACAACACACTACACACACTACCGTACAATCCAGCCAGTACACAACTCGACGACCACGACGCGGCTAGCCCTAGTCACTATAATAGCTCTATAGTCAGCTACCTAGATGACCTAGTCGCGCCGAGCCCGACAGCCTTATACATACTAGTATACAACTACGGCACTCTCTAATAACCACGACTATTTCCCTGGTCATGACTAGCTCTATCAACTATATATAGACTAGCCTGGTCGCGACTACCCTATCAACGATACCTAGTCACGACTAGCCTAGTCACAACTAGCCTGGTCGCGACTACCCTATCAACGGTACCACGTCACAACTACCCTAGTCATGACTAGCCTGGTCGCGACTACCCTCTCAACGATACCTAGTCACGACTAGCCTGGTCGCGACTACCCTATCAACGATACCTAGTCACCAATACCCTAGTCACGACTAGCCTGGTCGCGACTACCCTATCAACGATACCTAGTCACGACTAGTCTATCAACGATACCTAGTCACGACTAGCCTAGTCACGACTAGCCTGGTCACGACTACCCTATCAACGATACCTAGTCACGACTAGCTAGCCTGGTCGTGACTACCCTATCAACGATACCTACTCACGAATAGCCTGGTCGCGACTACCCTATCAACGATACCTAGTCACGAAGAGTCTGGTCGCGACTAGCCTGGTCACGACTAGCCTGGTCACGACAACCCTATCAACGATACCTAGTCACGAATAGCCTGGTCGCGACTACCCTATCAACGATACCTAGTCACGAATAGCCTAGTCACGACTAGCCTGGTCGCGACTACCCTATCAAAGATACCTAGTCACCAATACCCTAGTCACGACTAGCCTGGTTGCGACTACCCTATCAACGATACCTTGTCACGACTAGCCTATCAACGATACCTAGTCACGACTAGCCTGGTCGCGACTACCCTATCAACGATACCTAGTCACGAATAGCCTAGTCCCGACTAGCCTGGTCGCGACTACCCTATCAATGATGCCTAGGCACTACTAGCCTGGTCACGACTACCCTATCAACGATACCTAGTCACCAATACCCTAGTCACGACTAGCCTGTTCGCGACTACCCTATCAATGATACCAAGGCACTGCTAGCCTGGTCACGACTATCCTATCAACGATACCTAGTCACGAATAGCCTGGTCGCGACTTCCCTATCAACGATACCTAGTCACCAATACCCTAGTCACGACTAGCCTGGTCGCGACTACCCTATCAATGATACCTAGGCACTACTAGCCTGGTCACGACTACCCTATCAACGATACCTAGTCACGAATAGCCTGGTCGCGACTACCCTATCAACGATACCTAGTCACGAATAGCCTGGTCGCGACTACCCTATCAACGATACCTAGTCACGACTAGCCTGGTCACGACTACCCTATCAACGATACCTAGTCACCAATACCCTAGTCACGACTAGCCTGGTTGCGACTACACTATCAACGATACCTAGTCACGACTATAGCTAGCACTGCATAGCCTATGTGCACCGAGACACTTTCTGTCTAACAGTATCTCGCAACAGCACTCAATCATTTATTTAATATATCTTACAGGCAGTGTGTGGATCAAGGCAAGACTTATTCGGTCACTTCTATCTTTCCAACACAAAGCTGGTCTCACATATATTGCTTACTATATTTACACTGCTGTCTACACGCCGAGATCAGAACAGAACTGCCCGATTGTTGCTGGAATCTGCCTATTTATACCCTCTTGCTATCTTAGCGACACCTAGCGGTGAGTGAGGTATAATCACCGGTACGTTTTAATGGTACCTCTAAAACTATGTCTTCGAAGCGTTTGAATTACGGAGACATAACACGAATGATAAACGCCACCAGATCAGCGTATCTAACCTGAATGTACATTCATCACACAATGATAAATAAACTACAACTAAGCTCAAACCACACAATAACAACTAGGCTCAAACCCAACAACGATAAACAAACTAAAACCTCAAAAGACAACTAACATCAATCCCAACAATTACAACTAAGCTCATACCAAACATTGATCAATTAACTCAAACCAAAAGTGACAACTAAACTCAATCCCAACAATTACAACTAAGCTCAAACAAACAATTACAACTAAGCTCAAACCCAACAATAATAAATAAACCAAAACCAGCAATGACAACTATGCACAAACCCAACAACGATAAACAAACTTAAACCAAAAATGACAACTAGGCTCAAACCCAACAAGGACAACTAAGCTCAAACCCAACAATGATAAATAAACTCAAACCCAACAATTACAAATAGGCTCAAATCCAACAATGACAACTAAGCTCAAACCTAACAATGACAACTAAGCTCAAACCCAACAATGATAAATAAACTAAAACCAACAATTACAATTAAGGCTCAAACCCAACAATGACAACTAAGCTCAAGCCCAACAATAACAACTAAGCTCAAACCAAACAATGATAAACAAACTAAAACCATAAATGACAACTAGACTCAAACCTAACAAGGACAACTAAGCTCAAACCAAACAATGATAAATAAACTCAAAGCCAACAATTACAACTTGGCTCAAACCCAACAATGACTTAATCTCAAACCTAACAATGACAACAGAGGTCAAACCAAACAATGATAAATAAACCCAACAATGACAACTAAGATCAAACCTAACAATGACAACTAAACTCAAGCCCAACAAAGATAAATAAACTTAAACCAACAATTACAACTAAGCTTAAACCCAACAATGACAACTAAGCTAAAACCCAACAATGACAACTAAGCTCAAACCCAACAATTATAACTAGGCTCAAACCTAACAATGACACCTAGGCTCAAACCTAACAGGGACAACTAAGCTCAAACCTAACAGGGACAACTAAGCTCAAACCTAACAATGACAACTAAGCTCAAGCCCAACAATTATAACTAGGCTCAAACCCAACAATTACAGCTAGGCTCAAACCTAACAGGGACAACTTAGCCCAAATACAGCAATTACAACTAGAATCAACCCAACAATGACAACTAAGCTCAAAGCTAACAATGACAACTAAGCTCAAAGCTAACAATGACAACTAAGCTCAAACCCAACAATGATGAATAAGCTCAAATCCAACAATTAAAATTAGGTTCAAACCCAACAATGATAAATAAACTAAAACCAAAAAAGACAACTAAATTCAATCCTTACAATTACAACTAAGCTCAAACCAAACAATGATAAATTACCTCAAACCGAAAATGACAACTAAACTCAATCCCAACAATTACAACTAAGCTCAAACCCAACAATGATAAATAAATTCAAACCAAAAATGAGAACTAAACTCAATCCCAACAATTACAACTAAGCTCAAACCCAACCATAATAAATAAACTAAAACCAACAATGACAACTAGGCGCAATCCCAACAACGATAAACAAACTAAAACCAAAAATGACAACTAGGCTCAAACCCAACAATGGTTAATAAACTAAAACCAACAATTACAACTAAGCTCAAACCCAACAATGATAACTAAGCTCAAACCAAACAATGATCAATAAACTCAAACCAAAAATGACAACTAAACTCAATCCCAACAATGATAAATAAACTCAAGCCCAACAATTACAACTAAGCTCAAACCCAACAATGATAAATAAACTCAATCCCAACAATGACAACTAAACTCAATCCCAACAATTACAACTAAGCTCAAACCCAACAATTACAACTAAGCTCAACCCTAACAATGAAAACAAAGCTCAAACCCAACAACGAAAACAAAGCTCAACCCTAACAATGACAACTAAGCTCAACCCTAACAATGACAACAAAGCTCAAACCCAACAATGACAACAAAGCTCAACCCTAACAATGACAACTAAGCTCAACCCTAACAATGACAACTAAGCTCAAGCCCAACAATGGTAAATAAACTAAAACCAACACTTACAACTAGGCTCTGTGGACTCTACAAACTAGTATACCAGGTTTACATGTCACACAGACTTAATTGCTCATGTGTTCAGCCTTGTTATAGCTTTGTGATAAGTTGCTTTTATTATATATTCTACATTTCAACATGATTTATATTGAAAGGATTTAACAACAGACTTCACGCCTTTGTCAGTTCTCTCATAAACATCTGCTACAATAGTCAGAAATAACTGACTTTCTCTTATATATTCCAAATATTTGCAGGAGTTGGGAAGACCTCATTAGTTCATCTTATTTGTCACAATGAGACAACAAGCAATCCTGGCTGGACCATCGGATGTTCTGTGGAGGTCAAGGTGAGATAGAACTGACCATTACTGCTGCTTTGGTCAAGATTTCTCTATCCCTCTCATACTTGCCAACTCTCCCTATTTAGGAGGGAGACTCCTGATTTTTGGCCCTTCAATTTAATGTTAACAGCCAGTGTGCAGTGGAAACTTGATAAAGATCCATTGTTTTCACTTATAACACAATTATCTGGTAATAAGCCCATGCCTGTTAATAGTCCACCTTATATGTATATTGTAGTTCAGACATTGTCATGAAATAAACCCACTCCCCACTTCAAGGAAGAAATCATATGTTTAACTTGTGGGCTCATTGAAGGATAAGTGCATTGATTTAAAAAAAAAAAAAAATGTTTTGCAATAAACTTGTAATGTAAGGTATTTCAGGCCTCATTAATGAGGTCACCATATTCTTTAGTCATTAAATTAAATGTTTAACAGCAAGTTGTGGAATTCTACCTGAAAATCGGCCAGAAATACTTTCTCAATTTACATTTCATAATATTCCTATGAATAGAGAATTTCAATCTAGATCCCATGACTTATTATTTTTTATGAAGCAAAGCTTCTGAGAGTTTGATAAAAATAAGATGTAATGGGAACGAGTTTGAGATTCTGTTTATGATATACTCATTTTAATTATGTTAATTGCATATTTTGTGATATTGAAGGAAAAGGTGACTATTTTTGCCATTGCCTTTAATGTTTGATGTCACTGTAATGTTCTGTGTGATGTCACAAAGGGTGACATTACACAATGTTACATATCAAAACTTTGTGTGATGTTGTTATTACACTGCATAAGAACCTGTGTATAAAATTAATGTCCAGAAATCTGTTTGCTCCAACAGCTACATGAGTACAAAGCGGGAACCCCTTCACAGAAAACCTACTTTACAGAATTATGGGATGTTGTTGGATCTACTAGCCATGAAAATAGCCGTGCAATATTTTATAATCCGGTACATGGTAAGAAAATACTGTCTTATATAAGAGACTAACATTTTCTGTGATTGATTGATTGGTTTTACATCTGTTTTACGTCTGTTCACTACCGAGTAGTTTGGTAGACAAATTTTGTCTGCATGTAGAAAACAGTTTTTTATATGGGCGGTTAAATTTGTCTCTGTAGTGATGATGAAGAAAATTTGTACATGTTATTCAAAAGCAAAAATGAACCAGAGAATATTTTGATTTTAATGTTTTATTCCATTTTCATCAGAATAAAAAGAAATTTGATTAAAATGTGATACATGTATAAAAAAAACCCAGCAAATCAGTTGAATTATATCTTGGGTCTTTTCCCCTAAAGTTTATGACAAAGCTTAGGACAGAAAAAAAAGGCTGCTTATTGTTGCTTTCGTTTTGTTGTATAAAATGAACACTTTTCATTTTGTCAATGAAAGTTAATTTATTACTTAAAGATCCCTGTACTACTGCTAAAAACTAACTTCACCAAAAACACTCCTGAAAAGAAACTCCCATCTTGCAGACATTTTCAAAGTTGATGAAGTTATGAATTTTAATTATTTCTTTTAAATTAAGAAAAATGAAACAAGACAATTCTTATTTGATAGAAAGATATTTCATTTGAAATATACCGGTAACACAAAAATTACAAATTCAACTGTCAACATAATTGCATGAAGGAGAAAAAAAACTCCTATCGCTGTTAATTGATGACAAAAAGGAAAGGGTAAGCTGTATAATTTTTATCTTTAAAATTTTAAGAGTACATTACAAAGATTTTCCAGAACTATTACAAAATATATGCATATGATAAAGAAGATGTTGTGAAATAAATACTTTATCTAGTGTTTTGCCTGCAGTGGGTCAGGGATTCATAACTAAGTATGTCATGCTGTGTCTTAAAGAAAAAACATTTCAACTTCTGCAGGTATCATTCTTGTCCATGACCTGACGAACAGAAAATCACATCATAATTTACGTAAATGGTTACAGGAGGTCCTAAACCGTGACAACCCCAAGGACAACAATGGGTAAGGCACTAAAATGGTTACAGGAGGTTCTAAACCGTGACAACCCCAAGGACAACAATGGGTAAGGCACTGAAATGGTTACAGGAGGTCCTAAACCGTGACAACCCCAAGGACAAC